AGGTATTTCATGCCATTGGCTCGTTTTTAAATACTCGAAGATGATTGGCTTTCTATGCGAAACCCCCATTCTCCGTCATTACGACGTAACGTCTCCGTTTCCTACTCAGGGAATGAGGGTTACATCCATAACCGAGACGATTTCTAATTTATTAAATACTCAAATCCACTTTTCCACTTCATTAATCCAACTCTGAAATTTGCAACATTGATCTGAGGGACACATTAAAGGCTCAAATAGTCAAAGCGGCTCTGTTTGTACCAACCAGGAGCGTCAAAATATCATGATAAATCATGAATTTTGTCTTATCTGATCTGCCTTCTTGGTTTTAACTTCTTCCATTAGAGATGCTTCCTGCTTCCTACTATGGGCCTCGAAAACAGGCTCTTCTTCAGGCAAACATTTACTAAAGGAAGTTCTGAAATCTGGATCTGAGGCTCTCTCCCGGCCAGACACTGATGTAAATCACAGCAATTCAAACCCCTTCTTTAACTGCAACCGCCAGGAAAGTTCACACAGAGAGTCACCCTCCTTCTAAACACGCCAAACAAGAGTGGTTTGGTCTGATTAGTTGATGTCCTGTTGAAATGATAGAGGCTGAAGAATGAACTAAAGCCCAAAGCCGATTTCTTGAGTTGGATTTCTGCACACATACACTTTCTCCAGATAGGGAGAGCAAGAAACTTAGTACAGGTTTTGCACTTTCTATGATGTAATATCATACAGCCTTGCTGATTGGACATATTAGAATTAAATTAAATCATGAAGAAAAGTGTATCAGCCTTAAAATAAATGTTTCAATTTTTTTTCTGCAAGGAACCCTACTTCCATTATTTGCTGTATTATGTTGAGTTGGCCTCTTGGTTTATTAGAGTTTAAAAATGTTGATGTTACATTATAGGTTCAGATCTGTTCCTGTGTTATTTTCAGGAGAACTGGAGGAATATTGCATTGCATTGTAGAATCTACTTAGATGATTGTAGTTATAATATTTAAAAAAATAAATAAGTGAAGTAGATAACAATGCTCAGATCATTTGGTTTCCATGAGTTTATACATTCAGACTTTTGATTACACAGTTTATCTTGACACATGTCAGCTCACATTATTGAGATATCATCTGAAGAGACGTGTGATGTTGAGGGTATTTTTCTGAGGAGAATTTTCTGAGAAGAAAACTTTAGCAAAGGTCCCATTTTGTTTTCCACTCAATTTTAAAATGAGAATATGTCAAGTAAAAGAAAGAAAGTGTTCTTTCTAAAACCAACAAAGGGTTTTATTGGCATCAGACTATAGAACCTTTTCGGTGTTTTATCTGGATTGTTGATGAAAATATTACACTGAGAATAGCAGGTTATATAGCTCATTTAGATATGATATAAGATCTGCTGTTGATGTAGCAGTGGAGGAGGAGGAGTTCAGAGGGGTCTGACCAGGACTGTGCTCAAATGACTTGAGGAGGTAGACTGGTGAATACAGTATGATTGATGAAGCGAGCTCACTTAACTGCCTGTATTAGCTCTCACTAAATATTCTGGGCTCACTTATTGATATTTCCATCTGTCATCTCCTCCCTCCACCACCCTGTACCCACAAGCCACTGGCTGTAAGGTCATTTTTTATAACAAGATACTTTTGAATCAAAGGGAATGCCATATTGCCTCAGTGTGTTGGATCATTTGGCCAACAACTCCAGATTTTAATGACATCTGGGAGTGAAAAGGAGGAAGGGGCATTGATATCGATTTGTAAAGGCATAATGCACCATATAAATCTGAAAGAGATATGTCTGACCCATGAAATGTGTAGTAATAATAACGCATTTTGTATTAAAGGGCGGCAAACACGTTTTTTTTTTTTTTTTTTTGGCAGGATGATTAAATTTAAGGCTTTGTAAACATCAGGAGGGTCCTTTGGCGAAGTTCTGCTTCCATTACTCTTCGCTGAGCTTTCGATATCGTTTACTGAAAACCTTTTTTATGTTTCATTGAGCTTTTTGGCTATGAGGCGAATTACTAGGACAAGATCAGTGATGTAGTCCATGTAGCCATTTTTATAAGCGCTGGGGTTTAAAGTATTGCTGAAAAAAGTGACAGAAAAAAATAGAGAAAGGGATAGGGAAGTCATGCAGCGTGAATGAGGTTGTTCTCTGGGCCATTTTGACAAGGAAAGGAGATGTATGGGGGAGCTTCATGTACAGCTGGTGTTTGGCTTGGCTTGGCCTTTTGACAGTAATTCCAGACCTAGATTAGCTGTCATCTTATGCCAAATCACACTCCAAACCCCCTGCCTACACCCCCCTCACCCCCTGGCCCTGCCCTCTCCGCCCTAAAAAAAGATGCACTTAATGTTCTGATTTGTATAGACTACACTCACAGTTGACAAATTTAAGCTTCTTTAAAAAAAAAAAATGTGTATCATGTGATTTGCTTTTTTGGGGGAGGATGTTTTACAAGGTCTTTAGTTCCATTCCAAAACCTGGCTCTGGTTCACAGACGCTCCAAATCTAAAAGATAGACAGATCCTTCTAATGCTCCTTTCTTTGGCCAAATTCAAAAGCAATGCATTTGTTTTTTCATACTAAACTACAATTTTTTAAAAATTGAAGCTTAGTGAAAAATAAATGGTGGATGCAATAAATTAAATTCTGAATTGAAATTAATTTTGATTAAAAAAAAATGGTAGGGTTTTATAACTGTTCTGATACAATATGATGATGGAAAAAAGCCTCATTAAAACAATGAAATTATTGAAAAGATACCTAGAAGCAAGTAGTTAGCATAATCTTTTTATTGTTTATCAGAAAAAAAATGTTTCAACAAAACTTATTCACTGCTTACTAGTATTTGGAAAACATTTGTAATGTGATGTGGTGCAACTAACATACAGAAACATCTAATAATTTGACCTTTTTATGGCAAAGGAAGGTTAGATCAGCTTGTGAAATGTCATGTGGAGTGAGTAATCTATGAAATTTGTTAAAAATACTTTTATCTTACAAAATCAATTTTAAAACATTTTTGAAAATAATGGTTAAGATCTGTACACTCAATATATATATTCAAGTTGTAAGGAGAGTTTATTATTCTTTGTACTTGATTCTAATGTGATTTCAATGTTAAGTCAATGTAAAGACGCGTTTACGCACGTCTTGATGTCCTGTGGCACGATTGAGGCGAATTGACTACCACGGATAATTCTACTGTAATGGTTTAACTTTGCAATCAATCCGTGTTAACCAAAGGCTGATATATTTCCTTAATATATTAATAGCATGCTTTTTTTGTTGTGCATGATCACAGTTCATATGTGTGGGGAAAGATAAGCTATTAGAGTAAAAATAGTAAAAATATTGCGTTAGGCCACTTCATGAGTAATTAAGAAAATCTTTTTTTTTTACCATTTCTGATGAAGTTCATGTTCTCATGATTTATTTTTATGAATTAAAAAGTTTCAAAACAATTTTTTTTTCATAAATCGCACGCTGTATATATACCCTGTATGTATAAAGGTCTGTGCCAAAATGTAGTGAGGTGCCTCTCTGTGTACATCCCTACTAAAATGGAAACGCATAAATGATTTGAAATATTCTAAATAGGCACATTAGGCAGCAATATATATATACAGTATATATATATATATATATATATATACGCTTTTATCCATAAAAATAAAAAGGCATGTGTCTTAACCACTGAGCCATCATCACCCCTTATATATATATATATATATATATATATATATATATATCATAATGTTTCTTAAATCAACTGTATTTTGTATATATAAATAATACTTTGCTGTCTAATGTGCCTATTTAGAATGTTTCAAATCATTTATGAGCTTCCATTTTAGTAGGGATGTACACAGAGAGGCAGCTCACTAGATTTTGGCTCAGACCTTTTTTGTGTAGGCTTTTGTTAACCCAGTGCATTTCTTCTGATTTCATCTCATCTTTGTTTCACTTTGATATCCTGTTAAATTAGATGAAGCGCCTTGGTATGGCTTCTCGTAGTGTGAACACTTGATTTGAGATTGCTGGCTTATGTTCTGTAGTGTCTATTATGAAAGGGACTGCTTTGATGGTGTGGAGAATGGAGGATGGAGCAGGTGTGTCAACCGCACTGGTGACAAACAATTAGAGTCTCTCGGCTGGAGCCGTTAGATCTTATTCATCTTCACACTGTGGATAGAACAAGAGGATCTGAAGAACTCGCACACGCACACACACACACGTTTGTTTTGCGGTGTTTGTTTTCTTGTGAGATGAAAAGCTGATGTATATTTAGTTAAGGCTAGATCCTATCAAAATAAAATAGAGGTTTGTTTGGATGAAATACCTTACTTATAGAACATTTTTATTATCAATATCAGTAAAAAAAAAAAAAAAATGCCTCACTTTTCAAGCCGAACCGTATTTATTTTTTCTGTTTTCTGTAATTTGATGCAAGGATGAGTAAACAATGACATAATTTAGATTTTTGGGTGAACTATCCCTTTAGTGTCCAAATGCTTTTTAGGTCCACAGTATATCCACACTGTACTTTGTCTGCATATGAAGTCCCAGTTTCTAGCCAATGGACTGCTGTTTCTGTGTTTTGATACCTTCCTGCAGGTGCTCAATTTGTGTCTAAATTGCCCCAGCCAGCAAACTCATTTCAGAAGACCTGGGTTGAAGCCATAACGTGTGAAAACTCTTAATGAAGTGGCTTTCTCTCTCTGAACCCCTGTCAATCTCTCCTCATCCACTTCCACTTGGTCATTCCAGTCAGTTCAGCCTTTAGCGCCAAAGCCACCTTGACCAATCCCATTCTGTCACATACAACACGGGGAATATCTTCAGTATGAGTGACAGGAGCTACTAGCAATTTATTTTTTTGTCTGATAAAAGAGTTTTGTGTTAAAAGATGTTACATTCTCAATCTTCGGCCTGTCAAGTTGAGATCTGTTGCAATTTTGTGAATCTCAAGTAGGCTAAGTTGTTTGTGTTTGTTTTGCAGATTCTTGCATGGTGAATACACAGTGGAGGTGGCCATCAATGACTACCTGGACATCTACTGTCCGCACTACGAGGATCATCTTCCTCAGGAGCGCATGGAACGTTACATCCTTTTTATGGTCAACTATGACGGCTACACCACCTGCAACCACCATATGAAAGGCTTTAAGCGCTGGGAATGCAACCGTCCAATGAGTCCAAACGGGCCCCTTAAGTTCTCAGAGAAGTTCCAGCTCTTCACACCCTTCTCTCTGGGCTTTGAGTTTCGCCCAGGCCACGAATACTACTACATCTGTGAGTAACTTTCTCCTTTCTAACTCTCATACTTCAACTTCAAATCCCTCATCTGTGTTTTCTTGTGACCAGGTGTCAGTATGGCCCCAGGGTACAATCATTCCTTGAACTGATGGTTCTTGGGTTACAGGAACTGGGGTGTAGAGGGTAAAGAAAGACTTAATAAGTACGCGTAGACTTCACAACAACATCTGATCAATAGCATGTGCCACAAGATTCAGTCTGCTGAAACCTGTTATGTGGTCTCTAGAGACATATGGCAGAAAGAACAAAAAACTATGTGCCAGTCAGTGTTTGGTTTATGTTATAAAGATATGGTTTATGGAACCAAATGCAAATTGTTACAGAAAATTAAAATTACAGGTTACACATCTTTAATTTACATGGAACCCTTGTTATTCACAATGTTGCATTTGAAGCAGAATGTTGTTTGGAAATGGCTAGTAAACAGTGACTCATCCACAGTAGCCAGGTTTTCCCAAAGTAAACAGAGAGAAACATAATTCTCCAGAAATCTCCCTGATTTGATATCACAAGAATAACATATTTTTTTTTTCGTTCTTCCCTCTCGTTTTTTTTTTTTTTTGTTTGTTTGTTTTTTTGTGTGTGTTATTTCCCTGGTGTTTGTTTCTGAAGGAAAATTGAATCAGGTTTGACAAAGGCTGAAGGAATGGGTCTTCACATCAGCAGGAGCTTAAAGGATAGTTTACCCAAAACTCTGCCATCACCTTCTTGTCCCATTCCAAACCTGTAAGATTCTTTCATGGAACATAAAAAGAGAAATTTAGCAGACATTTTCCAACTGTTCTTTTCTATGCAATGAAAGTGAATGGGGACCAAGGGCTGTTATAAATATTGCATTATTATTTAAAGGAGCATTTCACCCTTTGCAACATTAATCTTTATTGAAAATGGATCATATATGTAGTCGAAATGTAAAATATTTTTTTAATTTGGTGCCCTCTTGACCAAGAAAAGAGAAAATAACCAAAGGGTGCATTTGTATTTGAAGACTACAGTTCCCAGAATGCCCCTGCATTGCACAGCTCCGCAAACCACACCCACTAACCCACCCACCGGAACAGCGCAAACAGAGAATTCACTCTTCCGTCTACAACGCTAACATTAGCCGTCACCAGAGTAAGAGTTTGAAATTCATTTCAAACAAAATGTCTAGTTAGTTGGCTGTGGCGAGCAGGACGATCGAGGGCGAGGGATGTAAGAGGGCGGCGCACTGTGCGAGGCCGGTGGCGTGAGTGATAATGAAAGACACCTGTGAGGCGCGCGCCGGTGCGTCTCTCACGAAGGAGATTTTTTGCATAAAATGGGGAGCGACGACGGCAGATCGAGAGAGAAACAGGCCTGATTTTATGTTGTTTTGTTTCTGTTGTGTGTAACGCTGGCTTACTTTCGTTTTGTATTTGTTCATTTTACTATTAAAATGTTTAAATGTTCGCCGGTTCATGCCTGTTCACGTTACATTTGTAAACACATTAGTGAATTACTCCTCGTTTGTATTTATTTCTGTATGGTGAATTACTGCATGATACCTGGATGTTCTGAAGGCGAAACTATCACAACACAAACGTCCGTGTGCTCGTCTGATTCAGAGCTTTCCTCCAGGAGAAATTGCCATCGTTGAAATTCTCTGCAGCAGACAGACTCTGTGTTCGTAGGCCGTGACACGCAGCGAGAGTACAGGCAACAGCAGGCCGCCGAGCTCGAACCAGTCCGGGCGTCTCGACCGACAGGCAGCCGTCTCCTGCTCCTCCATCAGGCTCAGCTGCTCTAAACTATACTGCGACTCGTAAAGATAGCCACGAACATCGGATTTGAGCAGCAGACTTTCAAAACCCTTTTCTTCAATATCATGTTTAGTTTCTTCCATCATTATCATAACTTCATATCTCCACAGCGCTTGTTAGCTTAGCTTCCAAACAAGTTGGCGGATATTGATTTCAGTCTCTGCAAGTGAAGTCCTACCCACTGATCTGTAATAGGCCTGTAGGGTGAGTGGGTGCCACACCCTTGAATAATAATGAGCTAATCTTTGTAGTCTGTTGTCATTTCAATGAAATATGACTTCCTGCTTATCGTGATGCAAAATGACGATTTTTACGTCACAATAAGCAGGAAATAAAACACTTAAATCCTTATTTCTCCCATCTCAGGGGAAAATAAGGGAATAAACCATGACCATTCAAAAATATGACTGGGTTTCTAAAGATACAAAGCTTAATGCAAATGGGTAAAGTGACCCTTTTAAGAAATGCAGTATTGTTATGTAACTTTTATGGCACTTTTTAATTTGTTTATTTTTTTTTTTTACTAATTGTATAATTCAAAATCTTTATGGTCCCTGGTCAAATTTACTTTTATTGTATGCTACACTTCACATTCTTGTTCCAAAGCAAGCCTTTTCGTCCTTGGAATTTAATGACAGGTGGACCACTCTTTTCCAATGCCAACATTTATTGGAGACATTTCGTATAGCAATTTGAATGTCTAGGAGTTTAATCGGAGTCGTCGGGGCACTCCTGTTCTACTCCTGAACTCCCCTGGGAGCAGAGTTTGGCAGTATCCTGATGTCTCTGTCTGATGAAAATGTGAATTTGTTGAATGGCATGTGCACTTTGCCACTCTGGGTGAGATCGGTGCAAAAGCAGTTACCAAGGCCATCATGCGTAACTGTCCAAATTATGCTGATTGGTCAAATCATATTTAACAGAAGGATCCTGATGGGAGTAATTGCATCTTCAGCTTCTGGGGTGCCATCCATTACCATTTTTCAGATAACAACAGCTAAAAGCCATTAACCTGGAGGGGGAGTTTTGGCTCGGGATTGTGCCCGGATGACAGGCCTGACACTTCGTCCTACCGAGGCAGCCCGCCCACTGCCTCAAGGTCAGGCCTTCGCCTGGCCAGACGAATCAAGTGGGGTTCTGCTTTATCCCCTTCTTTCGCTCTCACTTTCATGACAGGGGGGAATTTGCTGGGGTGCGTCTGTCCCTGTTTCACTAATGGTCTTCAGAAAGGTGTCCTTTGGCCTGATAAAAAGGGCTCCCGCTGGGCACAGGCAAAAGGAAAATGCTCAGGGCAACACGACGGATGCATTAATGAGGCAATTTCTGTTTTTTTTCTCCTCACTTATGCTTTTTTGTCTGCATGTGTGTGTGTTTATTCTGACTTTTAGAAGATAGAAGGGAGTTTGAGAGAAAAGTTTCCTCTGGTAAAAGAATGCAGCTTTAAGTAGATTGGCATGATTTTTACCACTCACCCTGCTTACAATGTCCTGGATTGCCTTAGAACTGTCCATGTGCTCTCAAAGATCGGCAGTTCAGAAGTTCGTTGGACACAACTTGTAGTTTGGCTCATGACTATAACCACCCATTATGTCACAGGACACCTAATCCTAAAAAGCTTTTTATGATCCGCTTGCGCTTTGGTCGACAAAGCAACAAACTCCTACTTAACAGCCCTATACTTAAATTATATGTTTATCTCTGTAAAGCTGCTTTGAAACAATCTACATTGTTAAAAGCTCTATATATATATATATATATATATATATATATATATATATATATATATATAAAAACATTAATACATTAAAAATTACATAATTAACTACACAAGACAACGACAGGCCCAAACAACTACCTACTTCCCCCTTGGCCGAATTTAACAGAAATAGAAGTAGGAATTTAACAGAAATAGAAGTAGGAATAAATTAATGTTTTTAACTGTTACTCCAAACAAAGGGAAATCTTAACCGAGATCCTGAGCGTAAAAACTGAAACTCAGAATAAAGAGGATGGGAACTAACCATTAAGAAGGATTGGGCTGGTGATTAACCAGGATGGTAGGGTGACTCTAATCTATTTTTTTTTCTTTTCTTTTGCCTTCACACTAAGACTGCCATACCAGCATAACATAGTGCATGTTAAAATGGACTCAATATAAGATTTGTAAAACAAAGTCATCACGGACCAATTAACGTTAACCCTGTAAGACCCAAATATAGAAAAAAAGAAAAAAAAATGTTTTCACCTCTCAGATGTTGTTGTAGGAGGCCTCAAATGCAAATAATGAAGGATTTTTTTTTTTTTAAAATATGTTTTTGTACGTTTTTAAGGAAATGTTGTAATATTACAACGTTGGGCCTATTGGGGAGCGGAATTTCAGCATTTCCACTCACACTGTCAGAACAAATACACAGAACAACTAAGGGCTTATTTGATGTGTGGATTGCTTACATAGCACCATAAGAGTAAATAATAATAATAATAATAATCACCCAAAAGTCATATTTTTATGAATTAGAATTTATTAAAAATTAACAAAATATAAATATTAAATACAAAACAGATTGAAATCTGTCAAATAAACAGTGTCTAGTGTTTACTTGCAATGGTAGTCCTAAAAGCAGTTCCTTTCCTCTGAAAAGCAGAGACGGAGATTGCACTTCTTGCAGAACGTATTCGAATATCCCTTTTTGCTGTGCCTGCAGCGCCCTCTCATTCTCAAATGAGTTAGTGTATGTTCAAATATAAATCATTTTGATGTAAATGAATCCTATTTATGTGATACATTCCGCTGAAGTCTAGGGTTGGGACAGTTTGCTGTATAGCCTTGGAAATGGACAAATAATCTTAATGTTTCGATCCAATTTGTTTTGTAATCACTGTTCCTTTGTTGGCCTGAGGAGAACTGGCCCCCGACTGAGCCTTGGCTTTTTGCTTGCTTAGTTGGGGACATTTAAAGGGTTAGTTCACCCAAAAATGAAAATTAAGTCGTTAATTACTCATTAGTTACCGTTCTCATGGGATTTTTCTGTTATGTTGGAAGGAATGTTGCAGATCTGCTGCAGATTTGAGCCTATTGAAGAGGTTCCAGAAAAGTTCCTTCTCGCTATCTCATCTCTTTAAATATTTGAAGACCTAAAGTACTTACTGTACTGTACTTTATTTTACTGTATTTTATTTTTTATTATAAACTGT